TCCGGATTCAATTTCCACAAAGGCAGGAGACACAAATACTAGGTATGTCTAGACGTATCAAACAAATTGACATGCACAAACACACGTCATACATATAAATTCTAGACATAGGTGGTTGCACACGTCCAGACAAAAATACACTGCGCCAAAGCCTGTAAAAGGCTGCAGCATCAGCCTCGATGTACCTTGATCTTCCAGAACATCCTGCAAACACTCCTGCTGCCAACTTCAAGTTGCAGCTATCGCGCTACATGCCGGCAGCCTGGCTAATGTGTGGTGGTTCTGATTAATGCGCTGCACGCTGCGGACATACATATCCCGTGTAGTAAGACCACCTGGGCTAAAAAAAGGGAACACGCTGTAAGCATCAAAGCGAAACTCTATGTGCGTTCCGTAGCACCCGGAAGATATGAGCAAAAGGAGCAATCTGCCCGTACCGTACCGTACCGTACCCTAACTGCTGCAAGATTGTTGCTTGACGGCGCCTGCAAACTACACGCACGTTCCCTGCGTGTGACAGACACTTCCCTCTTGATAGAGCGTAAGCATCTCCTGCTGCCAACTTCACGTTGCAGCTGTCGTGCTGCCTGCAGCCTGGCTAATGTATGCCGATTCTGATTCTGAGTGATGCGCTGCAGAAATACATGTCCTGTGTAGTAAGACCAGCCAAGCCACGTGAGAGCTGGGCTGGAAAAGGAACACGCTGTAAGCATCAAAGCCAAACTATATTTGCGCTCCATAGCACCGGGAAGATATGAGCAATCTCCAAGGTGACTCTGGGCGCACAGTCCAAAATGAAACAACCTATCGAGCGCGTCAGCATCTCCTGCTGCCAACTTCACACTGCAACTGTCGTGCTGCATGAACGGCAGCCTGGGTAATTTATGCCGATATAAGCCCGGTCACTCTGGCCGCACCATCCAGAACTACAGTACCCTGACTGCTTGCAAGTTCCTTGCTTGATGGTGCCTGCAAACTGCATGCACTCACGCACGTTGCCTGCGTGCGCCTGCCTATGACTAGGTTCCGTCTTCACGGCACGTAAGTATCTCCTGCTGCCTGCTGCCAACCTCACGTCGCCGCTGTCGCGCTGCAAAAACAGCAGTCTGGCTGATTGACGCTAATTCTGGTCCTAGATTAATGTGCTCTCCGCTGCAACAACCAGCTGTCCCGTGTAGTAAGACCAGCCAAGCCACGTGTGAGCTGGGCTGGAAAAGGAACACGCTGTAAGCACCAAAGCCAAACTATATTTGCGCTTCATAGCACCGGGAAGATATGAGCAATCTCCAAGGTGACTCTGGGCGCTCAGTCCTAAATTAAACAACCTAATTAGCGCGTAAGCATCTCCTGCTGCCAACTTCACGTAGCAGCTGTCGTGCTGCATGAACAGCAGCCTGGGTGAGTTATTCTGATATGAGCTTCATAGCACGTAAGCATCTCCTGCTGCCTGCTGCCAACTTCTTGTCATGAAGTCAGCAGTCCAGCTGATTGACGCTGATTCTGGCTCTCATTTAGAACAACCAGCTGTCCCGTGTTGTAAGACCAGCCAAGCCGCGTGTGAGCTGGGCTGGAAAAGGAACACGCTGCAAGCACCAAAGCCAAACTATATTTGCGCTCCATAGCACCGGGAAGAATTGAGCATCTCCAAGGTGACTCTGGGCGCACAGTCCTCAATTAAACAACCTAATTAGCGCGTAAGCATCTCCTGCTGCCAACTTCACGTAGCAGCTGTCGTGCTGCATGAACAGCAGCCTGGGTGATTTATTCTGATATGAGCTTCATAGCACGTAAGCATCTCCTTCTGCCTGCTGCCAACTTCTTGTCATGAAGTCAGCAGTCTAGCTCATTGACGCTGATTCTGGCTCTCATTTAGCGTGCTGCGCGCTGCAACAACCAGCTGTCCCGTGTAGTAAGACCAGCCAAGCCACGTGTGAGGTGGGCTGGAAAAGAAACATATTTGCGCTCCATAGCACCGGGAAGATATGAGCAATCTCCAAGGTGACTCTGGGCGCACAGTCCAAAATGAAACAACCTATCGAGCGCGTCAGCATCTCCTGCTGCCAACTTCACACTGCAACTGTCGTGCTGCATGAACGGCAGCCTGGGTAATTTATGCCGATATAAGCCCGGTCACTCTGGCCGCACCATCCAGAACTACAGTACCCTGACTGCTTGCAAGTTCCTTGCTTGACGGTGCCTGCAAACTGCATGCACTCACGCACGTTGCCTGCATGCGCCTGCCTATGACTAGGTTCCGTCTTCACGGCACGTAAGTATCTCCTGCTGCCTGCTGCCAACTTCACGTCGCCGCTGTCGCGCTGCAAAAACAGCAGTCTGGCTGATTGACGCTAATTCTGGTCCTAGATTAATGTGCTCTCCGCTGCAACAACCAGCTGTCCCGTGTAGTAAGACCAGCCAAGCCACGTGTGAGCTGGGCTGGAAAAGGAACACGCTGTAAGCACCAAAGCCAAACTATATTTGCGCTCCATAGCACCGGGAAGATATGAGCAATCTCCAAGGTGACTCTGGGCGCTCAGTCCTAAATTAAACAACCTAATTAGCGCGTAAGCATCTCCTGCTGCCAACTTCACGTAGCAGCTGTCGTGCTGCATGAACAGCAGCCTGGGTGATTTATTCTGATATGAGCTTCATAGCACGTAAGCATCTCCTGCTGCCTGCTGCCAACTTCTTGTCATGAAGTCAGCAGTCTAGCTCATTGACGCTGATTCTGGCTCTCATTTAGAACAACCAGCTGTCCCGTGTAGTAAGACCAGCCAAGCCACGTGTGAGCTGGGCTGGAAAAGGAACACGCTGTAAGCACCAAAGCCAAACTATATTTGCGCTCCATAGCACCGGGAAGATATGAGCAATCTCCAAGGTGACTCTGGGCGCACAGTCCGAAATTAAACAACCTAACTCCTGCTGCCAACTTCGCGTCGCAGCTGTCGTGCTGCACGCAGCCCGGCATATGTATGCCGATTTTGGTTCTGATTGATGCGCATACTGCAGAATTACATGTCCCGTGTAGTAAGACCAGCCAAGCTACGTGTGAGCTGGGCTGGAAAAGGAACACGCTGTAAGCATGAAAGCGAAACTCTATGTGCGTTCCGTAGCATCCGGAAGATATGAGCAACATGAGCAATCTGCCCAGTCACTCTGGCCGCACATCCAGAGCTACCGTACCCTAGCTGCTTGCTTGATTTTGCCTGCAAACTGCATGCGTTGCCTGCGCGCGCCTGCCTATGACTAGGTTCCTTCTTCATGGCACGTGAGTATCTCGTGCTGCCTGCTGCCAACCACGCGGCTGTTGGCGCGGTGCACAAAGGAGAGTAGCTGATTGATAGTGATTCTGGTTCTTATTTGGTGCGCTGTCCGCTGCAACAACCAGCTGTCCCGTGTAGTAAGACCAGCCAAGCCACGTGTGAGCTGGGCTGGAAAAGGAACACGCTGTAAGCACCAAAGCCAAACTATATTTGCGCTCCATAGCACCGGGAAGATATGAGCAATCTCCAAGGTGCACAGTCCTAAATTAAACAACCTAATTAGCGCGTAAGCGTCTCCTGCTGCCAACTTCGCGTCGCAGCTGTCGTGCTGCACGCAGCCCGGCATATGTATGCCGATTTTGGTTCTGATTGATGCGCATACTGCAGAATTACATGTCCCGTGTAGTAAGACCAGCCAAGCTACGTGTGAGCTGGGCTGGAAAAGGAACACGCTGTAAGCATGAAAGCGAAACTCTATGTGCGTTCCGTAGCATCCGGAAAATATGAGCAACATGAGCAATCTGCCCAGTCACTCTGGCCGCACATCCAGAGCTACCGTACCCTAGCTGCTTGCTTGATTTTGCCTGCAAACTGCATGCGTTGCCTGCGCGCGCCTGCCTATGACTAGGTTCCTTCTTCATGGCACGTGAGTATCTCGTGCTGCCTGCTGCCAACCACGCGGCTGTTGGCGCGGTGCACAAAGGAGAGTAGCTGATTGATAGTGATTCTGGTTCTTATTTGGTGCGCTGTCCGCTGCAACAACCAGCTGTCCCGTGTAGTAAGACCAGCCAAGCCACGTGTGAGCTGGGCTGGAAAAGGAACACGCTGTAAGCACCAAAGCCAAACTATATTTGCGCTCCATAGCACCGGGAAGATATGAGCAATCTCCAAGGTGACTCTGGGCGCACAGTCCTAAATTAAACAACCTAACTAGCGCGTAAGCGTCTCCTGCTGCCAACTTCACGTAGCAGCTGTCGTGCTACATGAACCGCAGCCTGGGTGATTTATTCTGATATGAGCTTCATAGCACGTAAGCATCTCCTTCTGCCTGCTGCCAACTTCTTGTCATGAAGTCAGCAGTCTAGCTCATTGCTGCAACAACCAGCTGTCCCGTGTAGTAAGACCTGCCAAGCCACGTGTGAGCTGGGCTGGAAAAGGAACACGCTGTAAGCATCGAAGCCAAACTATATTTGCGTTCCATAGCGCCGGGAAGATATGGGCAATCTCCACGGTCACTCTGGGCGCACAGTCCAAAATGAAACAACCTTTCTAGCGCGTAAACATCCCTGCTGCCAACTTCACGTCGCAGCTGTTGCGCTGCACGAACGGCAGCCTGGGTGATTTATTCTGATATGAGCTTCATAGCACGTAAGCATCTCCTGCTGCCTGCTGCCAACTTCTTGTCATGAAGTCAGCAGTTTAGCTCATTGCTGCAACAACCAGCTGTCCCGTGCAGTAAGACCAGCCAAGCCACGTGTGAGCTGGGCTGGAAAAGGAACACGCTGTAAGCACCAAAGCCAAACTATATTTGCGCTCCATAGCACCGGGAAGATATGAGCAATCTCCAAGGTGACTCTGGGCGCACAGTCCTAAATTAAACAACCTAATTAGCGCGTAAGCGTCTCCTGCTGCCAACTTCACGTAGCAGCTGTCGTGCTGCGTGAACCGCAGCCTGGGTGATTTATTCTGATATGAGCTTTATAGCACCTAAGCATCTCCTTCTGCCTGCTGCCAACTTCTTGTCATGAAGTCAGCAGTGTAGCTCATTGCTGCAACAACCAGCTGTCCCGTGTAGTAAGACCTGCCAAGCCACGTGTGAGCTGGGCTGGAAAAGGAACACGCTGTAAGCATCGAAGCCAAACTATATTTGCGTTCCATAGCGCCGGGAAGATATGGGCAATCTCCACGGTCACTCTGGGCGCACAGTCCAAAATGAAACAACCTTTCTAGCGCGTAAACATCCCTGCTGCCAACTTCACGTCGCAGCTGTTGCGCTGCACGAACGGCAGCCTGGCTAAATTCAGATTCTGGCTCTGATTGCCAAGTCACGTGTGAGCTGGGCTGGGAAAGGAACACGCTGTAAGCACCAAAGCGAAACTCTATGCGCGTTCCGCACCAGAAGATATGAGCAATATGAGCAATCTGCCTGGTCACTCTGGCCGCAAACTCCAGAACTACCATACCCTGACTGCTTGCAAGTTCGTGCCTGCAAACTGCATGCACGTTGCCTCCGCGTTGCCTGCCTATGACCAAGTTTCGTCTTCATACGGGTAAGTATCTCCAACTTCACGCAGCAGTCGCTTTACATAAACGGCAGCCTAGCTGATCTATGATGATTCTAGCTCTCGTTTGCGCTGCAAAGAACTGTTGTCTGGTGTAGCAACACCAGCCGAGGTGGGCTGCAATAGTCAAACCGTACGTGCCACCCGGTGGCACCCGGAAGACACAAAGAATTTCCACACAGTCCACACACAGTTGCTTCCATTGCACCCCGCATGAAGTCTGGGTGCTGCACCCAGGCGCCTCTAGCCAGTTCTTGAGGGGCATCAGAACTTGCGAAAAGAACATAAACCTTTCGGGCGGCACACCCTGTGTCTGGGCTGAAGGTTTGTCTGTCACCCAGCATTGCATCTGCCCAAGTGTCACCTCCTTCTCATTGTAGCGTCTCAAAGACAGCAAACAGCAAAGTTGTGAAATTGTGTTTTGCTCTTCTTTTTCTTCTGGGAATGGCGTTCGGATAATCACAGCAAACTACGGGGATTTAGTGTTTTCCTTTTTAAGGGTACCCCTTGTTGGTGGTATTTTAAAGGGTGCCGGGGTCGGAGGTGGGGCTTTGGGGAATTCGCGAAGATCGTGCGCTGGTTCATCAACGACACGAAGGTGGAGCTCTGTGGAGCGAAGGGGAGGTGAAGCCGTCGTGGTCTCAACAGGACACTCGTTCGGCCAAGCGGAAGGCGTCTGTGCGATTGGCACATACGTACCAAGGGGGGGGTGCATGAAGGTGTTTGAACAGCATGAGGACTTGGGGCGCCGCAGACGCCTTTGTGGATCAATTAGAAAAGGTCTACAGGTTTCGCAAAGTAAAACCAAAAAGGAACAACCTCAAAAAAGGCAAAGCCAGTAAGGTCTACCATGTTGTTCATTGAATATCCCAAGTCTGGGAGCCGGTCAGGGCCCCTCGGCGCAAAAACGGGGAGGCTCGTGCATCGCCTCGGGCATTGGGCAGCTTGGGCATCACTTCGACCAAATGTGTATTGAGCAAAGCCTCATTTTTGTGACCAGGCAGCAAGGATGCGCAGATGTGGTTAACTGGACAACATGCAATCAGGTTCCTGCATCCGGACGGGCGCCTTGAAGAATCGAGCTAACCATGTGATGCGGCACAAATTGTAATATGCGCTGTACGGGCTTACGCCCTTTGTATCAAAGTGACACTAGAGCTCGGAGATGTTGGATCTTCGCGTTGCATATGACTCACCCAACCCTCATCGTCACTTGGCCTCTGGCTCAGGAGTTCCTGACGCGAGGGCATAGCCGTCCACTTTGTGGCGACCGTTCGAGACACCCTACGCACCGTTCCTCCCACCCGGCCTTATGGGCTTTGGGCCTCACGACTCAAGCGCCAAAAGCACCAGTGATGCTTGCATGTCTTCGCCGGAGTAGAGCAACCGTTCAGTTTCGACACTTCCTTGCGAGGTGAAAGCTGGTCAAGTCGGTGAAACCTCGGAACATGCCTTGGCAAACTGGGGCCTCTCCGAGCGCCGACATGGCGCGTAACGTCCAAGTCCAGGGAGTTTGGATTAGCTGAAGGCTACTACTGAGCACTTGTCACTTTGCAACCACATCCTGTTGCAGAGATGCAACCCACTCTGTTCAGCCAGAGTCGATATGCGCTGAATCTGAATTGACGCCTCTTCTTTTCATCTTGCAATGGCTAATTAGATCGAATCGGATCGCAGAAATTCAGGAGTCGATTTCTGAGATGCATCTTTGAAAGGGTCTGCTTTCTCAGGCAGCTGACAAAAGGTTCAGATCTCTCTTGCTTCCGTACATGGTTTGAAAGACTTGAGCCGAAGGGATCAGGGCTTACCTTCAAGCGCTGCGAATCAATGACCTAGCTCCTAAAATGCACAACTCAGAAGCAAGGCAATTTCAGGAGCCGGACTTTGGGAGGTTTGGGATGTGTTGCCGAAAAAGTGCGAGCTCTCGTTTTGGAGAAGGGTGTAGGCAATATTAT